TGATGACTTGGGGGGGAAAGAGAGAGACACACACACAGAGAGAGAGAACAAAGGAAAACCCCGGACGTCCTCCTCCTGCCTTGGCGCACATCTCCCGCCCGCTCCTGATTTGCCGCGGAGGGAGGGCCCCCCTGCCAGATTGGCCGCCCCCGCCCTCCCTCGGCTCGGTTTCCATGGAAGGGCTCCTGCCCATCACTGTCAAGCGCCTGCCAATCAACAGTGCCCGCCCGTCCAACGCAAGGAGCCGCTCAGCGCGCCAGGCGCAACCCCACCGCACAGGCCTCCCTCCCCCCATAAGGGCGTCCTACATATACAACCGGCCCTTTGATGGGGACCAAACTGCTGATGCGCCCCCCGATGAATTTGAGTTTGACACCCCTGCTGTACAGTGTAACTACTATTGAATTAATTTGGAGATGGGGGAAGTTTGCCAGTCAGGCAATCTGGCAGTATAGTAGTTTTGTGGTATACAAGGAATTTGAATTAGAACTACACGTAATACTTTATTCACATTGCTGTAATAGTATTTTCAGAGTTAGTATGGAGCAGTGGTTAATGTTGGACTAGCACTGGGAAGATCCCAGTGAACTTTGAGCCAGTTGCATTCTCAATCTTGCTTCAGAAATTTGCTGAGAGCAAAATGAGAAAAGGGGAGGATGAACAATGTATGATGCCCAGAGGTCCCTGGGGAAAGGGCAAGATAAAAATGAAAGGAATATAACCAACCATGTGTTCAACAAAGGTTGCAATTCTTTATATGCTTACTCCCATTGAATTCATTGACATTTATTTCTGAGTAAACATGCATGGAAATGGGGTTGTAGGCATGCATTTGCTGGGGCCTATTTAATTCATGTTGAACTGTAGCCTACATTTGATTCCTATGTAATACCTTTTGGTTTTTGTTATTGTTTTCGTGGTAGATCTGCAAGAAAGATCAGCTTCTTCATATGCACAGGGAGCAAGACCAAAAGAAACTTCATTGAGCTCTTTGAGACTGAACACATCCATGAACCGCCAGTTGCCTTCTGAACATCAATCATCATTACTGTCTAGAGACCATAGCTGGAATTCAAGATCTAACTATATCCCAAGAGAATTAGAGTCTTCTGAAAGGAATATACAGCCAGAATTTACCCATGGTGCAGTGAGAAGTGGAATCAGTTCCTTGAGTGGTTCTGAAAGAGTTACACCGTCTCAAAGGTCACTAAGCGAGCCTCCGTCTGATAATGAAGGAAGACGTTCAACAAGGCAACTACTGTCTCGTTTAGCTTCCAGTATGTCCTCCACATTTTTCTCTAGGAGGTCTAGCCAAGACTCTTTCACTTCCAGGCCTGAAGATTCACCCATTCCAAGAGCTCACAGTACTATCCAAGCTAGTGCAACCAGCACAGGTACCACTTCTGAAGGTACAGAAGCTCAGACTCCTGATGTTGCTCAGGGATTTAGCTTTCTTAGAAGACGATGGGGCCTGTCAGGTGTTGCCTCAAATCATAATACTGATTCAGAAACTGAAAGCTACAGGCATGAGTCTGAAAGCAGAAATACAGGTTCCTGGCTATCATCTTCTCTCAGGAACAGATGTACACCTTTGTTTTCCAGAAGGAGGAGAGAAGGAAGAGATGAAACTGCAAGGACCTCTACCTCTGAAGCACCTCCAAGATCACTACATCTTTTTAGGAGAAGAGAGTCTGGTGGGGAGGCATCTCTTGAAGCACAAAGTGAATCCATCAGGCCTGCTGCTAGGCCGCCAACACCTGCAGTGCCTAATGGTGCTACATCTGTTGCCTCAGGGCATGATTCAGTGCATGGTAGAAGGAATTCAGGAATATCAGGGATGTTTCCTGGCTCACTTTTCCGGTTTGCAGTGCCCCCAACACTGGGGAACAATCTGTCTGATAATGTTATGATAACAGTAGATATTATTCCTTCAGGCTGGAATAATCAGCCTGATGGACAAGACACTGACAAGTCTAAAATGCCACCTTCAAGAGATCCTGAAAGGCTTCAGAAAATTAAAGAGAGGTAAAGTCCTGTTTGTGTAACTTAGTAATGAAATTTTAAATGTAGATATTACTGGAAATTGCATATTAGTAGAGCTTTAATTTTTCTTTGGGTGTATTGACTTAGACCCAGACTTATTCCTCCTTTTTCATAAAAAAATCACTATTTCTGCCAAGTCCTTTTCAGTAGTAGCCCCCTACCTCCCAGTGGTCTCCTAACCCCTAGTAGCAGCATTTCAGGAGGGCACATGAGGCTGCAGAATAAAGAGGAAAACCCAGTTCTGTAAAGGCTAGGATTTCCAGAGAATGGTATAGGATCCCTATATAAATGATTTCTCCTCCATCCACTAAGTAGTTGCCTTCAGAAAGCTATTCATCATTTGCAGTTTTTAAAGTCATTATCATCTGAGACGTGTTTCACATTAATGTATTACTGTATGGAAAGCTTTTTCTAGTTCTGTGTGAAAATGTGCTGTTATCTCATTAGTCTCCTTTCAGAGGATTCAGAAGAGGAAGAGGGAGATTTATGTAGAATTTGTCAGATGTCATCTACATCTCCTACTAACCCTTTAATAGAACCTTGTAAATGCACTGGGAGTCTGCAATATGTTCACCAGGATTGTATGAAGAAGTGGCTGCAGTCCAAGATAAACTCAGGTAAAGTAGCTTTTTTAGACAGTAGTTTAGGAAAAAGGATACTGATCAGGATTCTGTTGGTGAATTATGCATCCATAAGTTAAACTGTATAACTGGAGCAGTGAACTGCCACTGACTTGTTACTGACTGATGAGGTGCCAGTCACGTTACTAGATGTTCCTGCAGGATGATAGGGCAGTACCAGTATCTCATTAGTCAGTAGCAGTTTGTCTCTCTGAGTCCTGCAGTTAACTTAAGCACTCCATTTAACTTAAACACACATAAATCACACAGGATTCTGGCCACTGTCTTTGCTCCTCAGTTGCCTTTTGTGAATATGTTGTGGTTCTGTCAATTAAGACTCCTGTAGATGGAAGGAAAAACAGATGTAATTTCTGTTGATGCTACTCTTCCCATATAGCATGCCTCCCATCTTGTCTTGGAGTACTTCTAAATGTTTGAAGCGGGTTTATAAAAAGACTGGGGCTTACAGGCTAAAATAAGAATTGGTAATTGGTGGAATGAGGGCCAGAAAAATATAATAAGTTTAAGGAAGAATCTGTAACATTTTAAGTTTAAAAAACTGGTAGGGTTGGACCCACCTCCCCCCACAACTCCCATAAAGTGTCATAAAGACAGCAGAAGAGAACCTCCTTTTTGAATCTAATTGTGCAATTAGTTTACAACCCATAATTAGTAAGCTTTATGCCAGACATTTATCATGGAAATTGATAGACTGGATGGATTCTGAGAGTGTTTTGGCAGATGAACAAGCTGGATTTAGATCTGGTAGACCTACACAGGATCATGCCCTTATTCTAAGGCACCTAGTGGATAAGTATCCTAAGAAGCCCCGAGGGTCCCTATTTGCCGCTTTTATTGATCTTAGATTGGCTTTTGATTTAATTTCACGAGATAGGCTCTGGAGTAAGTTAGAGTCCTCCACAATAGATCGACGTCTTCTGCTTATGTATAAGCTGCATGAAAATACAACACTCCAAGTTAGATGCAATAAGGAAGGACATTTGTCTGATAAAGTTCCAAACTATAATGGTGTGAAGCAAGGGTGTATATTAGCTCCGATGTTATTTAATTACTATATCAACTCAATGGTAACGACACTCAGCCGTCCAGAGTTCCATCTCCCCAAACTAGCCAACAGACATATATCACTTCTGTTATACGCAGATGATGGAGTCCTAATTTCACAGACACCAATAGGACTAAAGAGAGCTTTACACGCTCTTGCACAATACTGTAAAGAGGAAATGCTACAGATAATTACTCGAAGACCAAAGTTTTAGTGTTTGCTCAAAGGCCCAGGATCTATAAGTGGTTAATAGATGAGCATGAGATAGAACAAATTAAGGCTTATAAATATTTGGGTGTTGTTCTCCAATATAAAGGAAACCACAAGGCCCATGTTAACAATGTGGTACAAGCAGCACAAAAATCTAGCCTTGCTATACTAAAATTCTTCTATTCAAAGGGAGGTCAGTACATTCCAGCAGCACTAAGATTGTTTCAGGCCAAATCCCTTAGTCAGCTTTTGTATGGAGCACAATTGGGCCCCTATTCTTCGTTTATCCAGCTAGAAGTAGTTCAGTCTAAATTTGTGAGAGCTATATTACAAGTACCAAGAGGGGTATCTAATGCAGCCCTCAGGCTTGAAGTGGGTTACCTGAAGGCTGAAGCCAGAGCTTGGCTAGCTGTTCTTAACTTTTGGCTAAAACTCACCTTTCAGCCAATTGGACTGACTTCACTGGTATTACAGGATAATTATCAGTCACCTTGGAAGAGAGCAATATACCATAAAATCAACAGATATGGCTATTCGGTAGAAAGTATCCAACAAATGGGATACGTTAAGGCCAAGAGTAAACTTAGGCAGCGTATTATTGAGACAGAAAGGCAGCAGGACCTTGGTACTACCAGAAATAGGTTTATACTTGACAACACACTGCTTCCACCCAAACTGGCAAAATATCTCTACTTACCCTTAACACCTAAACAACGCAGAGCTCTTACTTTGGCCCGCTTCAATGCACGTCCGTCAGCAGTCCAGGATGGGAAGTATAACAACACCCCTTACACTCAGCGTTTATGCCCCTGTAACTCTGGTGAGATTGAATCTATCTCCCATGTGTTACTTCACTGTGCTTTTTACTCTGAAGTTCGAGAAGTCCATGTTGACCCATAAGGGCATTTCCTGGATGATCAGAGGCACACTACACACAGCTTTTGCTGACAGGGCGATGCCGTGGCAGATATATTGGGCTAAATTCAGATATGGTAACAAAAGTTGCTAAATTCTGTGCTGCTGCAATAAAAATCCATGAAGGAAAGGTTCCACCTAAAGCGCAGCTATAGAATCTGTAAATTGGTGTACACCAATTAATGATCACACGGGCTATATGAGCTTTAAAATAACAAATTTGGCATTCTATGCAAGCTGTAATAGCACATAGATGAGGCCTATGATAGGGAGGTAGGAGATATTTAGTAAGATGTATATATGTATATAGATGCTTTTAGTGCTTTGGTGTTTTTAGTGTTTTTAATGCTTTTATATTGTTTTTATGTCTCCTAATTTAAAAAATGTATCTTACTTTTGCTGGTCAATGACCGTAATAAACATTTATTATTATAATCTAATTGTGCAATTCTCTCAATTCTTGAAAGTTGGAGATCATGGAACAACGTGCAAGCTACTTTCCCATATAGTGGTGCCTCGCTTGATGACATTAATTCGTTCCAGCGAAATCGCTGTAGAGCAAAAACGTCGTCAAACGAAATTTTTTAAAAACCATTGAAACACATTGAAAACTGTTCAATGTGTTCCAATGGGCTGAATACCTGCTCATCCAGCGAAGATCCTCCATACGGTGGCCATTTTCAGTGCCTGTAAAGCGAGGAATCTGTCCTAGAAAACAGTGGGGGCCATTTTCTTCAGCCGGTGGCCATTTTGAAACCTGGACATCAGCTGGTTGCAGGGAACTGATCATCGCAAAGTGGAAAAAGCCCATTTAAACCATCGTTTTGCGATCGCAAAAGCGATTGCAAAAACCTAATTGTACAGTGATTTCCTTGTTAAGCGAGGCAATCGTTAAGTGAGGCATGACTGTAATTTCTATGCCACAATCTACTACTAGAGACACTTCTTCTGAACTATGTTGTTACCTTTTCAATGTGAAACTTTGATATGTTTATCTCAGTTTTCATTAATTGGTAGTGTATAGGAAACTGCTTGTATCTTATTTTGCTAAGGATACTTGGGTAATTTGACCTTCGTACTTTGCAATAGAAATTGACCTGATCTGGACATCCTGTACGAATTGAAATTGTATTTGTTGGATTTTACACTTAGTCAAATGTTGTGATACAGCTATGCTCATAAATAGCAAAATATATTTAGAAATATAAATGATGGGAAAATACTCGTTTAGAAATGTGAATTTTCCAGTGGATTTTTCAAATGTCTAGCTATGAGGAACATAGAAGTTGGGATGTCTGATCGTGAGTGCATGTATTCACTTAACTTTGTTTTAGGTATGCAGTTGTATATATTAGGCTAAATCTAGCTTTCAGTTCAATAGTGGGATTCCATTTACTTTATTAAATCAGATTAGTTTTTCAAGAATTCTTTCAAGGCGAAATGACAAGGTGATATATCCTATTTTTTTTTCTCCCAGGCTCTTCATTGGAAGCAGTTACTACTTGTGAGCTGTGCAAGGAGAAGCTGCATCTCAATTTCGATGATTTTGATATCCATGAGCTTCATAGAGCACATGCAAACGAACAAGTTAGTATATTTTGGCTAATTTGGTAAGTGTCAAGTTTAGTGCTATGACTCAGGACAGCTGTTTCTCTAGAAGAAAATAGCTATTCAAATCAAATATAAATTATATAATGCCCATGTAGGATACATTTTGTGTGTCAGATCTGTGTGTGTTTTTAAATTATTCACATCACTTGGAAAGAGAACAGATAGAAATGAGTAGGAATCCAAAATGAATATTGGTATTCTGCCTGTACTTGTTGACCCCATTAAGCAAATAGTCCTAAGAGCTAAGGAATTGGCACAAGGCTTTCAAGCAGAAGCAGACCATGTTTCTTGGCACGGACAATCTTTTTTGGTCTCTTTTTATGTAGAAGACTGTGCAGTGTAATCTTCTGCACGTTTGGATGGAAGCCCTGTTGCGCCTGAATGAGAAGAAAGGCTTCCTGTTACAGCAGAACACAAGTGCCATATTTCTACAGCAGATACATATGAAGATGGGAGCAGATCTGCTTTTTATTCTGGGACATCAGTAGCCATCAGCAGCAGCATCTGCTGATATTATAATTATATAGATACATACTTCTTTCTCCCTCCTGCAAAAGTGCTTTTGCCTTGCTACTGGCCCATGTCCAGAAGAAAGAAGATAGCACTATGATAGACCTGAGAAATTATGGAGGTGGGGGAAAGGCTGAAGGGCATACAGCTGCTTGGAGATGAATTGTGTAACGACTGGGTAGCAGGTGTTACTAATATGGGATTCAGAGGAGTCTTACTGTTAAAAGTTCAGCTATGAGACTTGTGCAGCTTAATTACCCAGAGGTGATTGAAGATTTTTTTGTTTCTAAGTTCATTGCTTTGAACGCTAAGTAGCACTAATCTTTCAATATCCCTTTATATAATTGTAATGTACTTTGCTTCTCTTCTTAAATATTTGGTAGTTAATTTCTGTACCCTAAACTAATTTAAATTATTGCACTTTGGACATTCTCAAGGGGTACCCTTTATTTAACTGAAAGGAGCCCAAAATAGTTGCTTCCAATTAATTCAATCAACCTTTACTTTTCTTAAGGTGACTACATAAGCATGCAAATATCCACTTATTGAAGGTAGATTTGTTTGAGAGTGAGTTCTGTCTTGATAAAGCTGTTTCTTTAAACCACAACCATCTTAAGAGCTCAGTTTTCAGTGGCTATTGCTGAAGTAAGAACACATTTACAGTACATAACTGTTTTGGGACAAAATCTGTGTAACATAGCACTAGAAGTGCTTTTCAGATTGTCCCTTCAAAACTTGTTTGACTTAATGATATTCTCTTCTTCCAGGCAGACTATGAATTTATCAGTTCTGGGCTTTACCTTGTAGTGTTGTTACACTTGTGTGAACAACGCTTTTCAGATATGTTGGGGACTACAAGTGAGGCCAACACACGTGTCCGGGTAAGTGATGTGAGCTGTTTTTGCAAGAGCCAAATTATTACTGTTTTATTTCATGCTTCGTGTTTTCTCAAAATTTATCATGGCCAGGATCAAAACGGCTGTGTTGTCAACCTGGGTTGTTATGCCCTTGCCTGCTGCAGTCTCATGCTCTATGCCCACATGCTTTGAATAGCCACGAAAACCTGAAGAACCACTTGCAATGTAGTTCAGAAATACTTTTGAGCCTCATGATGCAGTGGTTAAACTGCAGTACTGTAGTAATGACTCTCCTCACAACTTGACCTTGATCCCAGCCTCAGGTAGCTGGCTCGAGGCTGACTCAACCTTCCACCCTTCAGAGATTGGTAAATTGGGTATCCAGCTTGTGGGGTGGGGGAATATGTAGCCTGCATAATTTAATTTTTTAAAAGTAAATTGGCCAGAGAAAGTTTTAAGCTCTATGGGGTGGTAGATACACAGCATACACTTTTTATTTTTTTGGAAGAAACCTAAGCATTATAAGTTTCCTTGTTTGACCATTAAGAATTCCCTATATGGGGAAAATATTTTCTTATTTTGTTGTTATAACATTTGTTCTCCTCTAAAGGAGTTTCACCTTCCTAAGGACCAATTTCATTCTATTAAAACAGAACCACTGACCTAAGCAGATTTTCTTGAACTCTTTCAAATGATTGTAATATGCAGGAAAAAGTGCTGTGCAATCCTTGTACAAATCCCAAAACAAGGATGGATGCTATATTTGACTATTAAAATCTCACAGACAGAAACTAGCTTTTGAGCTCCGTGGGAACTTTTGTCAGGCTGGGCATTACAGAGCTGGGACTGGTGGAGAAGAAATGCAAGACCTGGCCAGATGTGCAGGCCAGGTGCCTTTGTTTAAAGTGAGTTCCAAAATGGGCATTGCAGAGTTAAGTGGAGGTGGCAGATTTCAGGTTTCCAATAGCGGGATTTGCCATATTTCTGTTTTCCTCTGTATTTCAATACAAAGCACACTGTATTTGTGTATGCATCCACAAATGTGTGCTGAGTGATTTGCAGCTTTTTTCTAACAAGATTGAGAGGGACAATCAAACCTACATTACCAGAGGTGAAATCTGCTGCCTCTGAGCTGACTTTACAGCTTCCATTTTGGAATTTGCTTTAAACACAGGAGCTTGGCCCACATACTGTATACAGTGGGGTCTTGACTTGAGAACTTAATCCGTATTGGAAGGCGGTTCTCAAGTCAAAAAGTCTGTAGGTTAAGTCTCCATTGACCTACAGTGCATTGAAAACCGATTAATCCCGTAACAGGCTGTTTTTGTTCCATTTTGGTTTTTTTCTGGTCTGTAAGTCAATTCTCAGGCTGCAAGTCAAACCTACATTTTGCGGCCAGAGAAGTCTGTAACTCAAAAAGTCTGTAAGTCAAGCCGTCTGTAAGTCAAGGGTCCACTGTACAGCCATGATTTTTGGAATTTTTATGTTTCTTCTCCTACTCCTAGCTCTGTAATACCCAGTCTGTTAAGGGATCTTGTAGACCTCAAAAGGTAGCTTATATTACTGAGATTCCAGGTATCACTGGCCTTTGGCATGCAGTTAACTGAAATGTTGTAAGTCTAAATAGTTTTAGCGTGGGACGTGAAGCCATTTGTATGTATTTCAGCAGATTGTAGGTAATAGTGTTGATCCTGCCTTTCTACATATCTCAAGCTAAAAGTTTTAAACCAGTTTTTGTTTGGCATGTACTCTGCTCAGATGATGCCTGCATGCAAGTAACACATCCTATCATTTCTCTTGTATGTTTTTCTGTAGGCTGTTAGTCACCCTGAGTCCTACTGAGGAAGGGTGAGAAACAAAGAAAGAAATTATACTCATCCAGTCTCACTGCACATTTACATACAGTTATGGCCAAAAATATTGGCACCCTTGCAATTCTGTCAGAAAAATGCAACCCTTCTCTCAGAAAATTGTTGAAGTTGCAAATGTTTTGGTACTCACATGTTCATTTCTTTGGTTTGCTTTAGAACAACACAAAAACCAGAGAAGAAAAGTCAGATCTGATACAACCCTACACAGAAACCCCAAAATGTACTGGCCAAAACTATTGGCACCCTGTCTAAATTGTAAGAAATAATTGCTTTTCAAGTACGTGATTCTCCTTTAATTTGTATTTAGACACAACTGTCGCAAGTAACAGGTGTGGGCAATATAGTAATCACACGTGCAACCAGTTAAGATAGAGAAAAGTTGACTCAACCTTTGTGTTGTATGTAACACTGAGCACAGAGAAAAGAATATAAAGTGTAAAGAGTTGTCTTTAGATTTGAGAGAAAAAATGTGGAAAAACATTGACAATCTCAAGGCTACAAGTCCATCTCCAGAGATCTTAATGTTCCTATGTCCACTGTGCACAATATCATCAAGAGGTTTACAGCCCATGGACATGGACAGAAGAGCAAAATTACTGAAAAATTACAACAAAGGGTTGTTTTAATTTTGGATACAGAACCCAGAATTAACTTCCCAACATATTCAAGCTGATCTGCAGACACAGGGTACACCAGTGTCAGCTCACACTATCCGTCACCATCTGAATGAAAAGGGACACTATGGTAGGAGACCCAAGAGGACACCACTGCTGACACAAAGGCACAAAAAACAAGATTGGAGTATGCCAAAACTTATGTGACAAAACCACAATCCTTCTGAAAGAACGTACTGTGGACAGATGAGACAAAAGTAGATATTTTTGGTCAAGGATGTCATGGCACTGTTTCCAGAAAAAGAAATGAGGCATTCAAAGAAAAGAACACATTCCCTACAGTCAAACATGGTGGAGGTTCAAAAGCTGCCTGCTGCTTCTGGCACTGGATGCCTTGGCTGTGTGAACAATGTCATGAAATCTGATAATTACCAAAGCATTTTGGGGTGCAACGTAGTAGCCAGTGTCAGAAAGTTGCGTCTCCACCAGAGACACCATGGGTCTTCTTGCAGGGCAATGACCCGAAACACATTTCAAAAAGCACTCAGAAATGGTTACAAACAAAGTGCTGGAGAGTTCTGAAATGGTCAGCAATGTGTCCAGATTTGAATCCAATGGAACACCTGTGGAGAGATCTCAAAACAGCAATTGAGAGAAGGCATCCTTCAAATCTGAAGGCCCTGGAGCAGTTTGCAAAAGAAGAGTGGTCCAGAATTCCGGCAGAGAGGTGTAAGAAACTCATTCATGGTTACAGGAAGCGATTGATTTCAGTTATTTTTTTCCAAAGGGGGTACTACCAAATATTAAGTTAAGGGTGCCACTAAAATGGCCAGGCCATTTTTGGGTATCTATTTGGGATTGTGTCAGATTTGACTTTTCATCTCTGTTTTTTTTGTGTTGCTCCAACGCAAACCAAAGAAATGAACATGTGAGTACCAAAAATTTGCAACTGCAACAATTTTCTGAGAGAAGGGTTGCATTTTCTGACAGAATTGCAAGGGTGCCAATATTTCTGGCCATGACTGTACATGTGTGGAGAAATGTAACATGGGAACTGTTGGGTCATAGTTGGACAGTAGCCATTTCCATGCATGCAGCAGGCTTTTTTCTAGCTTCTGCAGCAAAAAAGTGACTGTAACTGTGTTCCTCAATTCCTTTTTTTTTTCATTTGAGAGCATTCCTAGAGACATCTGGAATTGTTCACATAAAAGGAAAAGAGGAAATGCTTGAAATTCTTGCAGATAATAAACATGCTTCTGGATTTTAATTGCTTTAAAATCCTTTGGTGACTTGCAACTTTTAAAACTCCCTTCTTTCTGTATTGCTTCTAGTTTATTAATCTTGCGAGAACTCTTCAGGCACACATGGATGATATTGAAAGTAGGTGGTTTCCCCTTGTTTAGTTTTCCTTGAATGTTAAAACAGCAAATAAATAATCTCAAATCTGTGATGAGAGGGTATAGCGCTAAGTGTATATGTGTTTGGATTGATCTCCAGTTTTCTATAGTACTGAGTAGCATAACTAATAAAACACAAAAGAAAGAGTTTTGTGTAGAATTGTCGCAGCTTATGAAGGGAACTTGAAGGAATCTAGTCCAGTCTTTATATTGACACATATGATCCAAAGTGTCCTCAGTCAAGTGTCTTGAGTGCCTGTACTTTGCTCCCTCTTGGTCAGTGTTGAGGTGTGAAGGCTAAAAATATGACATAGTTAAGCTAAAATTAAATACTTTTGAAACGGATTTATTTCAGTGGAGGATACCTAGTATGTGCTTAACTATCCAATGGAATAATAAAGTTTTGTATGTTCATTTTGTTCATAAAGAGAACTAGTATCACCAATTTAAGCAAATGAAATTCATAGTTTGCAACTAGCTTTTGAGTGACCACCAACAATTCAGCTAGATCCTTTTTCTTAAGAATGTATACAGTGGACAAAATTATGTTGGTATGGTTAGGTAAAAGTTCCCCTTGACATTTGGTCCAGGCGTGTCCAACTCTAGGGTGTGGTGCTCATCCCCGTTTCCAAGCCATAGAGCCAGAGTTTGTCCGAAGACAGTTTCCGTGGTCATGTGGCCAGCGTGACTGGACACGGAATGCCATTAGCTTCCCACCAAGGTGGTACCTATTTATCTACTTGCATTTTTACATGCTTTCGAACTGCTAGGTTGGTGGGAGCTGGGACAAGCGATGGGAGCTCACTCCGTTGCGTGGATTCAGTCTTACTACTGCTGGTTTTCTAACCTTCCAGCACAGAGGCTTCTGCGGTTTAACCCGCAGCGCCACCACGTCCCAACTGATATGGTTACAGTGGCATAAATTTGATCCAGATTCCAGAAATAATGAATTTAAACAAATGGAAAGCTTCCTATCTCATTTCAGGTTCGAAAGCTCCCCAGGGTATCTATCCTGTTGTCCTGAAATTCCCTACAGCTCCCTTTTTGTTCCTACTCCAATGATTGTGATTCAGCAGCCATTTTTTTATTGTTAAAGTCTTCCCCCATCCCAAAGTTCCCAAAGGCTTCCATGTGGGAGGAGGTCAAAAGGGAGCCGTAGGGAGCCTCAGAACCTGAAGGAGGAAATAGGAAACTTTCCGTTCATTTAAATTATTTCCAGTGTCCATATCCTGTTTATGATAGCGGAACTACTCCAACAGAATGTTGCCTAATGCATCTGCCTTATTGGGGCACAGTTGTAATGTTTGTTTTATGCTTTCAGGGTAATATGCAGTAAAATCAGCCTCTAGTGACACATTAACCTACGAAGAAGGTTAATGTGTCATCAGCTGGCATGACGCTTTTGCCTGTTTTGATCATTTGTTTCCAACCTTGGGTCCCCAGACGTTCTTGGACTATAACTCATGGAAATGCTGGCCAGCACAGTAGTGGTGAAAGCTTCCAAGGACATCTCTGGCCACAAGGTTGAGAACCACTCCTTTTTTGATGTTAGCCCTTGTTAGTGGGATGGTGAAAGGGAAGGAAAGGAGCAGTGAGCAGGCACAATTGCTAAACTTACTGAAATTACCACCTTTTTGCCCCTGTCTGCATCCAAATATTTCCATGTTTCCTTTTTACTTCCCAATGAGTGTGAATCCTAGTGTTCTTTGATACCAGAGCTAGTCCAAACTCTCTGCTTGTCTTTGACTTGTACAGTGAGATGAAACTTGATACAGCAGGAACCAGGACTGTATGAGTTGGCTCATAGAGCAGAATTTCTCAGCCAGTATTTGTATTGCCACAACTCACTTGACCTTTATTTTTCTCTTTTGTGAAGGAAGAGTACAGTGTGTGTTTCATTATTGCTTTTCTGAAAGATGAACATGGATTTAGCCTCTAATCTTTTCCAATAGTAGTTGATAATCTTCTTTCTGTTGTCCTCTGTTAACTATTTTTCCATGTCCTCTCTACATAACTACTGGGGGGTGGGGGATCAAATCCCAGATATTAAATGTATTTGATTAATGTGGTCTGTTCAGTCAATGGATTTTCCTACGCTGTTTTCCTGAAAATAAAACCTAACCTGAAAATAAGCCCTAGTATGATTTTCCAGGATGCTCTTAATATAAGCCCTACCCAAAAATAAGCCCCAGTTAAGTGAAAGCCTGCACTCCACAATTGTGTAGCAACTAGAAGAAGACAGGACTATATATGAATAAATGTAGATTGTTGTACATGAAAAAAAAACACCGCATTCCCTGAAAGTAAGCCCTAATACATTTTTGGAGCAAAAATTAACGTAAAACCCTGTCTTATTTTTGGGGAAACACGGTATTTGTGTAATTTTGGGAATATTGAGAATACCGATGCACACTGCAGGAGGGATCTGGACAATTGTTTTAAAAAGTGGGTCTTAATACATGGAGTGATTCATGATTAAATAGAGTCCTGTGCATTTCACACTGTTGCATTCTGGGAAAACAGCCCTCAGTTATTCTGCACTGGTGCTGTTGGCATTTTTTAAAAAAATGTTGCTGTTCAACTGCTATCTATGAAGTTACATGTAAAATGAAAGCAGAAGTGCACAAGTGCTCAAAGTCTCTGCTGCTACGTTGACCTCTTTATGGCCCTTTATTGATAATAAGCTGAATAGCTGTAAAGCAAAAAGTAGAATGCAGGTCTGTTTGCTGAACATGTATTTTCAGTATTGAAATAATACAGTATTTGAAGTTATTCCTATATGTATATAGATTGAGGTTATTCCTGTATGTATAATATTGAGGTTATTCCTATATGTATATAGATTTCTTAGAACAATTTAGATTAAAATGATTAAGAGAAAATAAGGCTGTTTCAACAGTCGGCAAGTATGCCTGTTTCAGGAACACTTCATTTTTTTCATACAACTTTCTGAAATTGCAGGAAATTGTCTTCAATATTCCTCCTACCCATCTTGCTTAAAAAAGGGTTTTTAATTTAGATGCTCATTAAAAGCCAATTTCAGTTTAGTGTAAATGTAAGTAATTCCAGACAACATTGGGATGACATATACTGAAACAAAACTATAGCTTCGAGCTTCAGTAAAGTTTCATTTGAATTAATTCAAAATCCCATATATACTATGCTAGATGTTTCCCAACTTTGACTGTATTTTGTCTTTCTAGCAGCTTCCGATGATGAAGATTCTGAAGATGGTGATTTCGGTAGAACTCTTGATACTTCATAATTGCAGATGGAAGGACTGGGTATTCAACAGACACACATATCACCAATATACTTCTGTTTAGTAAAATACACTGAATATTACTAGATTTCTGAAGCATTGCTGAGTTCAAATATCTGCTGTTGCACACTGATATCCAGAGATCTGAATATTCAGTCTGCACTTCTTTGAGATTAATGACATGTATGCCTTTTAAAATACCAGATTTTTATGTGTAAGGATTTTTTTTCTTTTGTATAAAATTCTTACAATAATCAGTTAACAGTTCTGGGAAACATTTCTCAAGTTGTGTTCTTCTGTTGGCTAAGTTGTAACATTAAGCGTGTTTGCAAATCCAAGTCACGGGGAGGGGAATAATTCCATGTTAGCCTTCAGTTTAAAAAAACCGCCTTTGGGAAGTAGCAAAATTTTGCTTCCAGTGTTAACAACCTAGATTGAATGAGGGAATGAATGGGTTCTGTGACATTAGTGTTAAGTTTCTTTTTTTTTTCTTGGAATGATTAACTCAAAGCAATAAACTTGCAAGGGGCTACTAATAAGCGTTAATTATGGCTTTTATAAGTATTGATTTAAAAACTGCGGGTTATATTTGATAATATTATTATGTAGATGTTCCAGCTGTAAACACTGGCACTTCAGCATTCCTGGAAGGAATAAAACATGGTTTAGGACTTAACCAAACTATTTATCTTAACTAATCTTTTTTAGAACCCACATTCACTGCTGAAGCACTTATTATCAGTGTGTTTTCTATGTTGTCACTTGTTGAATAAAAATTACAGTGCATATAACTTTTTTGTATTTTTACGTTGTTTTCAAAGTCTTGGTGGGATACAGTGTCTCTTTTAGCTTAAGAATTCTTGTCATGCAGAAGTATTGCTATGCAGGCAGTGTTCCCTCTAAGCTTTGTGAGTGCATGGTTGAGCAGTGTTGCATTGGTGCTGCACACCCGCAGCCAGTGTTGCCATCCATTTGGTTCCAGTTGTGGTGGGAACCTTATGTGTGCAGGACGGGGCCCTTACTCAGCACTGGCAGGAAATTAAGAGGGAACATTGTATGCAGGTATTTTTCAAAAGGTAGTTGCTACTCTTGTGGTAGATGATAAATAGAGCACAACATCTGCAATGTTTATGGTGGCTGGTGCATATGCTTACATAATGCAGACATTGTGGGAGAAATGGAGGTCCCATTGCTGAAGAAAATGCAGGTTTGTTCAAAAAATATACAGCTAATCAAAGTTGTTTATCTCTGTGGGTCCTTAGTGGGAAAGAGGAAGTGTCTTGGCAAAAAGAGAGATTTCCAAGCAGGATTCCATACATCAAAATAAATGCAAAGAAATAAAGCATGGATGCTAAGCTGCACTTTTAAGTCTTCCTCCTCCACCTGTGCTTAATTTGCACCCACACATGGCTGTGAGTACATAACGTACATACACACACCATGATGTCATATAAATCCCATTAAAATCCTTTTAAAGAAAAGGTTGGGGCAGAATAGCTTTAAAGTTACTTTTGCAGATGTTACTGCTGAACTACAGATTACACAGAAAGTGCAGCTTCTAGATAAATAGCAATAAAAAAATAGCTTGGGAGAAAATGGGACACTGAGTAAGAAAATATGCCAAGGCAACAGGTTGGGCTAGCATATTGGGTATTTTGTATATAAGCCACAAGTTGCAATCCTGGAATATGATGGTGAAGTAGATTGTCTTTTAGGGTAATGGGAATTTCTCTACCTTTTAGTATTTCAATGTTAATTATGTAATGTCAGGAAGTGGTTCCTCTTGCTAACATGATCTTAAGGCATATGAGGTCCTAGAAAACATCTTTTATTCCCTTCTTAACAGAACATTTGGGCATTGTTTATTTCTCAGATCTAAATGCAAGGCACACATACAATCTAAAATGGTACAGCGTGTACCAAGACGTACCCTCCAAGATCTTCAGTGGCAACATACTGAGAAGTCAAATACGGTAACTGAAAAATACTGCCTGCGTAGTGAGGTGTGCACCTGTGCTCTTTGTGAATAAAGAGAGATACAAACTCAGCTTGTGCAAGACATATGGTTTAGGCTGAGGAAAGTGAACAGATTGATCCCTGTAAAGAACTGAGTATCCTATCTCCTGCTTCATTTTTAGGGTGTTAAGAGAGGTGATTTTTGGATGCAGTTTCTTGTGTAGCCCATGTCAACAAATGGCTAGCAAAAGTAAAAATGCACTTGAACTGCATGCTTAACACAGCCAGCAAGACAAAATTGGAGCTGAACAGCAGGGATATCCAATTACTGCTGCATAGTCCTCCATTCTAGATGGAAATTATGGATTAAAGATGGAGGCGACTCACCATTTGGTGAGTCCTGCTTTGTGAGTCGTCAAAACTTTATGACTGATGAAGCTGCCTCCATGAACCTACGAAGCACAAATTTATTTGTTGATTCATAGGGGGTTATTAAAAAAACTGCCTGACTCCCCCACCGTTGCCCCCCTGTGCCGCCGTACGATTCCCTTAGGCAGGCTAAGGGAATCCAGGCTGCCTTTTGCAAAGATGGCAGCTGCAGCGTCCGTACCCTAAATGAACCCACAGCCACCATCTTTGCAAAGGGCAGCCAGTGTGTCTCTTTCTATAAGCCATGGCTGTGGAGGTCTGCTGGAGACGGCAGCATCCATTACGGTGAGGGTTTTTTGCAGGGCTGGGGGTGGTGGCAGGGTAGTGGTGCGGTGGGGCAGCTAAGGTAGGGAGAGGAAGGGAGCAGGGGAGAGGCTGTGGGGGTGGGTGGCTGCCTGTCGGCCTGCCAATCCGTTGATTAGCGGGCCGGTAGGCATAATGGGAAAGCCATAGGAGGAGAGCCTTCCCTCTCTTTGTATGGGGGACAAATAAAAATGGGGAAATATTTGTCCCTTTGGATTCATCGGGGGCTCTGGAACCCATGAATACGAAGGGACAAATATTTAACAAATCAGCTATTTCTGATGAATATCACAATCTTTTTTTTGTTTGTCCCCATGTCTCTTTTGGATTGTTAGTGTCACAGTTAGTGGAATCCAGTTAGTTGGGCAACCCAGAATGATGAATAATCTGGAGTGGCATTACACATCTAGCTATGGATGGCAAAGGTGTTTCCAGTCCTGGCTAGAGATGCATTGTTGTCCTCTAGCTCGGTGACATCTATGAATTCTGTGGTGGAAATACTGGCTGCCAAGCACAGTATGCCACTGCTGTTGGTTTCTAGCTGCAGTGTAATGATGGCTAAGTCATGGATGCAAATCTTGGACCAGTGGCTTCTGGGGACAGGAGATTCTGGCAGCAGCCTAGTGAGACCTTAAAACCAGTTTTCATGTTGACCTGCATTTTGCTCTAGCAAAGAGAAACACACTACCATAAAGCATTCTGTCTCCATGGGAAAGACTGACTTAGACATGCCAACTCTGCAAGCAGGCTTCCTGCATACCCCTGCCCTTCCCAAGTTATTCTTTGTAGGGAACTCTTCAATTTTCAGGCTGTATGGCTTGCTTATTTAAAGTCAGTCATATTCTGTTTCAAGCTGGAATACAGTCTTGGAAGCTGCGGCTGAGGTATCTGTCATTTAAATGACGTTTAAAAAGGAAGTTAGACCATTGTTGTGTATAGAAAATCGTGATCTAAAATGTGCATTTCCATATGCACATCCGTGTTTTGCTGTGGAGAATGAATCATTGTGAATCCCTCTGCTCCAGTCTTATTATATTGCCTTGTTCCACCATATGTGTGTTTTCAGGTAACTCAAAGAAAGGAAAAACTAAAGCTGCGTGCTGCCCTATAATTACCAGGTAACTTTGCCTAGTGTGTTCAAACGCGAACACAGAAACAGAAGATGCCCTATGAACATAAGAACATTAGAAGAGCCCTGCTGGATCAGGCCACGGGCCCATCTAGTCCGGCTTCCTGTATCTCACTGTGGCCCATCAGATGCGAAACGAGATACCTGTCTCCTGATATCCCTCTCCTGCATCTGGCATTTTGAGGTACTTTCCTTCGAAGCCTGGAGATTATACATTCCCAACATGGCTTTGTAATCTGCAATGAACTTCTCCTCCAGGAATCTGTCCAATCCCCTTTTAAAGGCATCTAAGCCAGATACCATCACCACGTCCTGTGGCAAGGAGTTCTGTAGACTAACAACATGCTGGGAAAAGAAATATTTTCTATTGTCTGTTCTCACTCTCCCAACACTCAATTTTAGTGGATGTCCCCTGGTTCTGGTATTGCATAAGAGTGAAAAGAGCTTCCCTCTATCCACTTTATCCATCCCCTGCATAATTTTATATGTCTCAGTCATGCCCTCCAGAGCCTTTTGTCTAGACTAAAGAGCCACAGACATTAGCCTTTCCTTATAAGGGAGGTGTCCCAGACCAGTAATCATTTTAGTTGTCCTCTTCTGCACCTTTTCCAGGTCCACTATGTCTCTTTTCAGGTGCAGTGACCAGAACTGTACACAATACTCCAGGTGCAGACCGCAGAGTTTTGTACAATGGCATTATAATGTCGGCTGTTTTATTTTTCATCCCCTTTTTAATGATACTTAGCATGGAATTGGCCTTCTTCACCACTGCCGCACACTGGGTTGACACTTTCATCAACCCGCACACCAAGATCTGTTTTCTGATCCCTCACGGACGGCTCAGAACCCATCAGCTGATAAAGTTTTGATTTTTTTTGCCCCAATGTGCATTACTTCACATTTTCTTATATTGAAATACATTTGCCATTTTGCTGCCAATTATTCCAGTTTGGAGAGATCCTTCTGGAGCTCTTCACAAACCCTTTCTGGTCTTCACCACGAGGAAAAGTTTCGTGTGTCATCTGCAAACTTGGCACCTTACTGCTTATCCCTGCCTCCAGGTCACTGATGACCAGGTCGAAAAGCACTGGTCCCAGGACAGATCCCTGGGGCACACCACTCTTCACCTCTCTCCATTGTGAAAATTGCCCATTGACACCTACTCTCTGTTTCCTGGTTCTCAACCAATTCTCAATCCATAAGAGGACCTCCCCTGATTGTGAACGTTTCTCAGCAGCCTTTGGTGAGGGACCGCATCGAAGGCCTTCTGAAAAGCCAGATAGACAATATCCACTGGTTCGCCTGCATCCAGATGCCTGTCGACCTTTTCAAAGAATTCTAAAAGGTTTGTGAAGTAAGACTTACCCTAGCGGAAGCCATACTGATTTTTCCTCAGCAAGGCTTGTTCTATGTTTTAAGATTTGATCTTAGATGAGGTTTTCCACCATCTTCCCTGGAACAGACGTTAGGTTCCCCCCTCCTTCCCTTTTTAAAGATGGGCATGACATGTGCTACCCTCCAGTCCTCTGGCACTGTGACCATTTTAAGGGACAAGTATATTTTAGTTAAGAGATCAGCAACTTCATTCCTCAGTTACTTAATAACCCTTGGGTGGATGCCATCTGGGCCCAGAGACTTACTGATCTTCATCGATTAAGTCTAAAATGTCCTCTCTTTTAAACTGTATCTGATTTAATTCATTAGTCAGGAGGGGCCATTCGGGCAGTGGAATCTGCCCAAGGTCTTCTGTTGTGAAGACAGATGCAAAGAACTCATTTAATTCATCTGCAATACAGTGGACCCTCTACTTAAGGAATTAATCTGCATTGGAATGGTGGCTGTAAGTCGAAAAGTCTGTAGGTCGAATCTCCATTGACCTACAATGCATTGAAAACTGATTAATCCCACAACTGGCAGTTTTTATTCTATTTTTGTTCCATTTTGGTTTTTTTCTGGTCTGTAGGTCGATTCTCC